GCACAGGTGTCCCCACAATAAGGCTTCAAGGTAAATCTCTGGGTTGGGGAGAAGAGAACACAGCATGGGACAGGACTGGCTCTGTATGAGGGGCCCAGAAAGAGGACAGGAGCAACCTAGCCAGCAGCAGCCCAGGCCACCCCCTCACTAATCAATGGTCTGGGTATCCCAACAACGACAGCCACAGCCAATGCAGTCTAGGGGAGCCGGTGGAGAGATGGCCAAGTGAGGCTGCATGGGGACACGAGGAGGGGCCCTGCCCCCTCCCACTGCCCCTACTCTTGGATAAGGCCCAGACCCCTCAACCCGTGAGAAGCGGGGCAGGCCTTTGCCCATTTTCTCGATGCCACCCTCCTGCTCAGCAGCCAGGCCACACGCCAGCCCTCCCCTGCAAGACTGTACTCTCTGTGGCTAAGGCCCAGGCCCCACCCCACAGCCTAGACCTGTGGACGCTTCGGTCCCCAAACACAATAGCAACAAGAACACAGCTCCCCGTAGTACCCACCTCCTCTCTTCTCCCTCTAACAGTGTCCCTCAAGAGCTGGGAGGCGCGCCGGTCATCATCCTGACTCACTGGTCAAGCCAACCTCTCTAAAAGGCACACACTTGAGAACCACAGAGACAGCACACACAGGCACACATGCTCCCAACCCAGACTGGACACTGCAGAGAACCACGTTCCCGGGGCCCAGGTATACCCGGAGATAGCCAGTCACAACCCACTACCAATCACTGATCCCACGCAATGTGCACCAGGCACTGGGCATCTTGGGAACCAGCAAAAGAATCAACAACCTACAGAACACGGCCTGGGGACAAGGTCTGCACACACTGATGAGCTCAGAGATCAGCGTGACAGAGAGAATCTGCCCCTCCCAGGTAGACTGGATCTGAATGGCTGCTGCTAAAATGCTGATGGTGGGCAAAGGCAAGCAACATGGGATGTATGGGAAACACAGGTGGGTCCACCCAGCCATCCAACATGAAGACAGTTCATGAAGTGCTAGCCCCAGACGATGCCCTACGATGCGAAGTGCAGCTGTGCTTCTGCACATGCACACAAACACACACAGAGCAGAGCACAGCACTACAACTGCTATGCTCCCCAGCAGAGGGGCTCCTGGTGTGCTGCCCTCCAGGTAGGTAGACAACTCCACTGCCTAGTTAGTACCCATTACAGGCTCACTTCATTACATCTACCCAGGCTACACTACTTAAAAAGGGAGGACCATTGAATGCGGTGGTGCATGTCTGTAATCTTGGTACTCTGGGAGGCTGAGGCATGAGGATCTAAGTTTGAGTGTAGCCTGGGCAATGTAGCAACTTAGGAAGCCTAGCTCAAGATAAAGTTTAAAAAGGGCTGGGGATTTGTAGCAAAGTACTAAGTATGGCAAATAACGAAAACATTAAATTAAAAAGGAGAGGAGTCTCACCATGGTCTTTGGTCAGTAGCAGGGTTTTGGGGTCTCCACATTTCTCAAAAATCCTGGAAGCAACCACCTTGAGTGAGTTGTGGGATGTGGCAGGGACAAGGGGTGGCAGGTGCCCAGTGCCCAATGCCCTATGTCTGCACTAGCTGGTCCCATGCCCAAGCACCCCTCCAGGAACCTGCAGATAGGTGGGCCACTGCTCCTGGAGCTGACCACCAAAGCAGCATAATGGTGAAGAGAGACATCAATTCCAGCATGACCTCTGTCAAGTCCAGAAACAGAACTCAGCCCCGGCCAATCGCACCAGATGCGGCAAACCCAACTGGCTCCAGGAATCCTCTGGCACCTGCCACCTTCACAGGACAGCTGCACCAAGGCCAGGCCAACTTCCTGCCTCACCAACAGCTGCTTGGTGAGAAAGATTATCAGATGGCCTCTGCTGACCAGCCTGACTGCTGCCTAAGGCCCTGGGACCACAACCGCAACACCATAACCAGCTGCATAGAGCCCTGCCTGGCTAGGATGCTCTCCCACCTTGCTACATCCAGGAATGCCAATACTACTGTTCCTAAAGAAGGTGTTGAAGCTGCCACCCTCAAGCGTCATAGGTCATCTGGGAGCCAGAGCCATCTGGAAGCCATGGTTGGCTCCATATGCTCCTGGGATTCAAGACCATGCCTGCCAGAAGCCATGGGCAGCTGCTCAAGAAGCCCTCTTCTCCATGCAGGGACACTTGGAGGACAGCTCAGAGGCCCGTTAGGTTTCAGGCTGCCTTAATTTTGAATGTGTAGCAGACCCTACCCCCAGCACTCTTTCCCTGTATCCTCTGCTCACTGTCCTCCCTTGTGAGGCCTGAGGGGACAGCGGTGAATTCCCAGGGGATATTAGGAAGCTGTCCTATTTTTCCTCACTTTCACCTTCCATGAAATTCCCTGGCGGACACAACTCCCAAAGGAACTGAGCCACCAGGAAAGAGGTCAAAGTCTGCGTTACGGATTCTTCCAGGAGGAAAATCAAAACTGTACGTTTTATTCTTGAATTTTTAATCAGCAAGGCCAAGGACAAGCATCCTTCTTTGCCAAGGCAAACACCACTCAGAACTGCAGTTGAGGCGATGCAAGGGCCAAAGCAAACAGCTGAGCCGCATGACGGGTGACACTGAGCAGGGCCCACATCCCAGCCTTTCCAAGAGGCAAAGCCAACAGCACTTCTGCAAGTGCCAACCTGGGTACAGCAGCAGCCCGTAGCAGGGACCCACATGCAGTGTGGTCCCAAAAGAGCAAGGCGGTACCTGGACCGGCTGGACCAGCCTAGATCTGCACATAGATGACTTGGGTTGTCTCCTGACTGTGCCTCTGTGTAGGCTGGGTTTCTGCCTGGCCAACATGCCAAAGCTGCCCAACCTGTACGGCTCTGTAAGTTTTCCAGTGATATCACACAAAAAGGGAGCACAGGATTCAAAGACTCAACAGTCAGGCCCCCAGAGGACAGCACAAACCCCCTACCTAGCAAGCAAACAGCTTTGTGCAGTAAAGCCTGTCACTAGGGCAGGAGGAGCCCCACCGTAGAAGAGCCCTTCAGACACCTTCAGCCTGCTTGTGTCCAACCCTGAAAGAAATCCCATCAAGATCTCATCTGCACGCCTTCCACAGGCCTAGCAAGTACAAAATACAGAACCTGTGTGTTTAGTGTAAACTTCAAGCCTGCCAGACTGTGGCCAGAGGGGCTAAAAGTGCTCACACACCCTGATCTGGACAGTTTTTCTGCCACCACAATGAGTCTCCCTTCAGCCATCCAGGTCGATGACAGCTGCATATGGGTGAAGCTGCAGCGCTGTAACTGCAGGCTGACTGCCCTGAGAGTCATTAAGGATGTCCACGGAATTCCCCAGAGCAAAGCCACTTCACACACCCTTGATGAGCCTCACTGTGAAAGTTCCTGTTTAATGGTTTCAATGTAGAAGCAGGAAAAGTGGGGTAAAAAAGGCTGTGACCAACACTTCTCTTCTATCCTCCACAATAACAAGCAAACTGTAATGGAACTAATGACTAATAATTTAATAAACCTCCCTCCCTTGACAGCATGTGCTTCCACAGAGCAACAAAACCAGCAATGTACACATACGCCACAGATTCTACAAGATAATGAACATAAAACCCAAAAGGCTGCTCCCAATCCTGTTTACCAGCAGCTCCAACATGGCTTCAGAGCCTCCTTAGCCCCCCCACCGCCTTCGGGATTCCTCCAGACCCACTGGCCGCAACTTTAAAGCCCTGATTAAAAGCTGTATTAAAGTATAAGCTGCTCCCTGGACTCCTGCTGAAACCAAAGGGACCACCCCGGAAGCTTCCATCTGGCTGGCGGCAGCCTGAGTGAGCCAGTTAAGAGGTTTCACAGGCCACTGGCTAACAAGACACAGCCATGGCTGGTTAACACAATTAGAAACTGTTGCTCTCAGAACAGGTCGCAAGCCCATTCAGCGGCCATGAACCAGCAACTCCGTGTGAAATACCAGCTACTCTAATCGCCAGCCTTTCACTTAACCTTCAGACACAGTTGTGAAAGAAAGCATATCTTTGTAGAAGGACGCCATGGACCGGCCAGGGCAGGGATTTCTCTTGAGAAAATGCCCCGGGGAGCTGCAGCCTGTCTGGTGCCATCCGGAGCAGGGCTGTGTGGCTGGGGGTAGGGGCCTGACCTGTGAGAAGAGAAGCTGGAGAGTGAAAAACCCAAGGCCTGTCCATCTGTACACAAGGCACAGACATGCCCGGGAGGGGGTGGAGAGTAGGCTTCCAGGGGCTCTGCGGTTGTTCCATGGGAAACTGTCATTTCACAGATGAGGACGTGAATGCGACTCCTAACATATCAGAAGCAAAGGCAGGCGCGTCAGCCTCCTACACAATTAGTCTTCTCCCTCCGCGGTTACATAAGATGATGGATTATCTGTCCACCCATCCAACCTGCCCGTGCTCCACCTCGACCTCCCACCTTGGGCCACGTCCTTCATCTGGGGAGGGAGTTGTGGAAAGGGAAAGCCTGTTCAGAAGGAAGTGCCCAAAGGCTGGCGTAACCGCGCATGGAAGAGCCCCACCGTGCCATGGCGCCAACCGGCCTCAGGCCAACAAGCAACTGGGGGCTACCGCACCCACGACGCCCCCCACAGCCCGCCCCACTCAGGTCCGCCGCGGTTCAGAAGGTACCCGAGGGCTCCCGGACCGGACAGGACCCGGCGCAGCTCCGTTCCCTAGACGCCCGGGTGAGCGCGCAGAGGAGCTCGTGGGGGCCGAGCTGCGCCGTCGGGGTGGGGGCGCCCGCCAGAACTGGAGGCGCGGCGGGCTGCGACGGGCAGAGGGGGCTCGGGCGGGCGCGGCCACCTGTAACTGGCCGGCGCAGGGCTCACCATGCCCGTACCCCGAGGCCGGGCAGGAAGATCCCGTGAGGGCCCGGCCGCTGGGCTCCGGGGCCGTGCGGTCCGGACCGAGCCATGGGGGCGAAGCTAGATAAGGGCTGGGGCTCACCTTGTAGACATTTTCCGTGAGCCGGTGCATCTCCTCTGAGCGTGACAGCGACATGGTCTTGGGTCCCGGCTGCACCACAGACCAGAGCGGGGGCACGGCTGGCCGGTGGAGGCAGCAGCTGCAACGGGAAGTAAAAACTCGCGGACCCGAATCACAGAACGCGGTGCCTCTCGGCAGCCAACTTTATAGTCGCGGTAGGCCCCGCCCTCCATAGGCCCCTCCCCTCTCCCCGCCCCCGTCGCGCCCGGATCACCGCCCCCGGCTGCCCGCCCCCGCCCAGCCCGCCGCTGCTAAGCAACCGCCAGGCCCGCTACAGCACCGCCTTTCCCATTGGTGAGTTCCGGGGGCGGGGGCGGAGGGCGGGCTCAGGGGTGTGGCTCGGAGCTCAGCTCCTGGCTGCGATTGACCGGCGGTGCTGTCGATCCTGGAAAGCAGGCGGAGGCGCGGCGTGGGCTGGGGCCCCCGAGCAGCCTGAGGGGGCCCGGCGACAGCCGGGCTGGGGGCGGGGAGCGGGGGCGGGGTGGCGCAGGAAGAAGGAGCAGGAGGTGGGGGGAGGCTCGCGGGTGGCGCCGGCGCGAGCATGAGTGGAGGGTGCCCTCCGCGGGGCGGCAGCCAGACGACCGGGCCGCTGGGGTCGCTGCCTGGCGCTGCGGAGGGTCCGGGTGGCCGGCTGGGAAGGCAGACGGGCAAGTAGTCCGCAGGTGAGTCCACGAGGCGGGCGGCTACCCAGAGGGCCTTCGGGGAGGCAGGAGAACCGTGGCAAGGACCCGGTAGGGTCCTGTACCCTAGGAGGAGGACCCGGGCAGGGTGGGCCTTCGGGCGGCACCGGGAGGTGGCCTGGAGCGCGCGCGGGGGGCTGGGCACTTGGCCCTAGGATTCTGGTGCGGCGGAGGACCCTGAGGGGATCTGGAGAGTGGGAGTTGGGCACAGCCCAACTCTTCTTCGAGGAGGTGGACCTGGGCAGGGAGAGGACCGACGGAAGGGGAAGAGCCCCGTGGGGGCTGGGTGGGGTGGCGCCGGTGGAGAGGGCGCCTGGTGCTTGGAGCTCGGGAGGGGTAGAGCGACTAGAGCCACCTGGTATTAAGGAAGGTCCTCAGAGATGACCAGGCTGGTACACGGGGTTCCTGTACATTACCTTTGGAGAAATATTTACATAAATTAGATAACCACAGAGGAATTATTTGCTTTATGCTGTAAAACACCAGATCTGAATGTTTTCCTTTAATTAAGCTTGACACTCTCCGCCAGCTTCCCATTCCTGGACAGCCGGCCACTCGTTCATTTCTTCAACAGAACAGGTTTCCAGAGGACACAGATCCACAGGGCGGCTGTCAGATCCGCAGACAAACAGCAGGAAACTCAGGCAAGTCCCCATGTGCTCTGCTTGGCCTCACGAGAGAAAAAAGAAGTGGGATCCAGCAAAAAGCACGGGGGCAGCGGCTTGCCTCATCTGCCTGGCTTTCTGTCCTTCTAGCTGCCCCTGCTGGCCTCCACCTTTTCTTTTTTGCCCCCCAGTGTCTTAAGATACATCCCTGTACATTTCTCTTTTGTGATTCTTTTGGCTGCAAGTGACAGAAAGCCAGCACAGTCTGGCTGTCACAAATGAAGGAATTTATTGACTCAAGAGGCTAGTAAGTCCCGGGCTCTTGCTTTCCGCTTTTCACATTCCCCTGCGTCAGTGTGGGTCAATGCACATTCCACTGGGCCACTTAACATCCTGGCCTTTGGGCTGATCCTTCTGTCCTGAGCCAACCTGGAGCTGGTGGGCCCAGGGGGTGCAGCCTTTGCTTGCCCAAAGGAAAGTTAGGATCTGGGATCCAAATGACAGGCAGCGTCTGGCAGCAAAAACAGGAGGCCTCCTCACTGGAATAAGTGAATTTGCCTGAGAATTCCCCTCCAGGTCTTGGTTCTCCTCCCTGCAGCCACAGGACAGGAAAGGGGAGGGGAGCCCATCCAAAAAAGCTTCGCTGGTCCTGGCCTGTCCCTAGAAGTTTCCCGTGGACTTTCCCATGATTGCTCTGTGCATGTTTCAAGGGGCACATTCACCTATAGTGATCTGACAGACTCAAGAGTCCAGCCTGCCTTCCAGCAGCCTCCAGCCTGGGCCTGCCTCCACCTGGCAGCTGGGCAGGAGGCCAGAACAGAAGCTGACATGGAGAAAAGGACCATCAGAACCCCTGGCTCCGTGAAAACCAACACACATCCCACGTGTGACCTAGCCCTGACAAAAGGCACTGTGGCTGATGGTGGATCTGGGCAGGACTGCCTAGGAATGGGGGAAAAGGGGGAGCAAATGGGGCCTGCCTGCTTGTCATTGTAAATTCCGTTTCTGTCCAGGGTGACAGGTCCCGAGAAGGAGGTGCCCGCGGATGAAAAGAAAAGTAAGAGAAGCAAGAAAAACAAGAGAGACAAAGTTCTGGGATCAGGGGGCGTACAGCCTCTCAGACTGCAGCCCCAGTTACCAATCTCAGTCACCTCTTATTGATCGAGAACCAAGGGCATAGCTAGTACAAATTTGCAGATACCAAACATTTTAGCAAGGGTAATTACAGGATTATCCTTCTCCACATGGAATCCAACACACACCTGTAATCCCAGCACTCAAGAGGCTGAGACAGGAGGGTCGTAAACTCAAGGCTAATCCGGGCTGTATAATGAATCCTTATCTTAAGAAACTCTAACAAGTAATAGACAAATCATTGTGTCCTCAATGCATTCTAATCAAAGAATGTCCTCCACACCTGCTCCTGCCTTGCACCTCCAGGAACAAGTGCCTGCCTTTTTAGTTCTTGAAGGGAGAGGTCCTGACCTCTAGGGAGACTTGACTAGCCACCACTGAAGCCCTTCTGACTTAAGCAGCAGCACTTTTTAATAGTGGGGGGTGGGTGTCAAGGGTAGGAGCTCAGGTCCTGAGCTGGATGGTGGGGTGGATGTCCATAGACCAGCATGACCCCAGCTTGAGGTGACATCAGGAGGCTGCTCTGGCCCAGACCCTGTGAGTTTTGGAGACATCAAGTCCTTTGCAGACCCCACCTTGTTCCTGCCTCCCTGCCTGTCCTGAAGGCTAGGCAGTCAGCATGACAGAGACCTCACCATTACCTCTCCTGCAAGACTGTCAGCCACTACACCCTTTGGACCCTCTGCTTCTCCCCCGCATTAGAACCTCTTCTGGCTCTGTGCTGGGGGCAGGGGTGGAGTTTGAAAGTCCAGGTTCCCAGGTGGGGGTTGGAGCTGGTTTCTGCAAATGAGCAGCTCCTTGGGAATCACTGAGCACAGAGAAAGATGGGAATCCGTACACTGTGGCTTTTCCTCTGCCTTGTGACTGTCCTTCCTTGGCTGAGCTCTGCGTTGGGCAAAGGGGATGTAGCCATGGAGATCTGTGTCCCCTCAGCTCTGAACTGGAGGGTCCACTGCCCCTTGTTCCAACTTCAAGCCCTCTGTGCGCAGAGTGGTGAGCTGGGTCCAGGGGCAGGAATGACCTCATACTAGACCTGACCCCCAGCTCCGATACTGACCCCAGGTTGGCAGCACCAGTGGGCAGCACGGAAGACAGGCGGGGGGGCGGGCAGGGAGCACCCGCATGCAATGTCTCCAGTAGCTTATTTTTAGTTGTGTTATGTAAGTGGCTTCATCTCAACGTCATGTAGGAAGGGGGGTCTCAGATTTAATTACAGGATGACAGCCTTTGCCTTTCAAGCAAGCTGTTCTTCTGGCAAGGCAGGCACAAGGATTGTGAGTTTTCACTCAACACAAGGAGTCCATCCAGCCAAACTTAAACCTGTTTTCACCTCTGTCCCTCTCTGTCTTCGACCACCTCACCTGGCTCTGGCTGAGCTGGCCTAAGAGGGTGGCCCTAGGTCTGGGAACCCAGGGACAGTCTGTGCCTGTCACGGGAGCATGCTGCACCCTTTTCCTTGGCAGTTTTGCTCTGTCTCCAAGAGAAGGAGAAACCCAGGCAGAACTCCTCTCCTCTTTGCCGGTGCTGGATTGAAGCTCTTGTAACCAGAAAGTCCCTGAGCAGAAGAGAGTGGAAGGCACAAGAGTGGGGCTCACGTGGGCTTCTGGGGCAGGGCCCGGAGGGCTGGGTCTGTCTGCTCCGCCGTCCCTGCCCTTGCTTCCTGCTACCTGCCAGCACTCCTGGTCCCTGGAATGTGTCTGTCCACACTGCATGGGACACCGCTTCCCTGCTTGCCGGAGGTGCTAAACGGCTCGCTGCTCGCTTTGCACCCTGGGACCTACCCAGTTGGGAGTCCTGCTCCCTCCTGCACAAGGGCCATCTTGGCCACTTTGTCCAGTGTGTAGAGCAGGATCACGATTCCACTGCAAGTTGTCACCTATGAGGAGTGCAGGGCAGGTTGGGAGGAGTCAGTTCCCGGAGCTAGTCGCTGCCGCATGGGCAGGACAGGGCTGCCGTGGTTGCTGGGCAGGTTTCACAGTCTCTCTGAGTGCCCAAGAGTGGAGGTTAAGCTGCAAAGGGATGTTGGAAGGAGACATGGTGTAAAGGACCTCAGAGACCCGGGTCTGGCACATACTGGGCCCCCGACGTGTTTTAGAGGGTGCTGATCTCCAGAGCGCCCAAGTGCTGCCCAGAGGCTGCCCTTTAAAAAGTGAAGTGCCCGAGGTGGTAGAGCCCACTCCCTCCTTCCCCGTGGGCTGTGCTCAAGCGTTCTGCAGAGTGCACAGTAAGGAAGAGCGAGGAGAGCAGCGTCGCAGAGACGAACCTCATCACTGCCCACTTGGTGGCCAAAGCCAGCACCACTGAGAGGACATGGAGGCAGCAGGCTCTGGATCCTATAGGGCCTGTGGGCGTGTTACCTCTTTGATCTTCCTCTCCAAAACCCTAAACCCCCGTCTGATAATGAGAAAAGCATCACAGCTGTCCAGATAATCGAAGACAAGAGAAGCCTGAGAAACTGGCAACTAAGAGAAGACAGGAAAACTAAAGGTCATGTGGGAGCCTGTGTGGGACTCTGGACGGGACACTAGGGAAGTCTGAATAAACTTCAGTCTAAGTGATACTGTGTCAGTTTTGAATTACTGGTAACACATGCACCGCAGCCCTTCTGGGGTGTATGAATTGTGTTTATTTTTTTTATTTATTTATTTTTTTTTTTGAGACAGGGTTGGTCTCTATAGTGTAGGCTGGCCTTGAACTCACTCTGTACCCCAGGCTGGCCTTGAACTCATGGTAATCCTCCTGTCTCAGCCTCCTGAGTGCTGGGTTTACGGGTTTGTGCCACCACCCCCGGCTTGAGTGTGTGATTTCTTTCTTTTCTTTTTTTTCAAGACAGAGTTTTGCTATGCAGTTCAGGTTGGCCTCAAACTCACTTTGTAGCCCAGGCTGGCCTTGAACTTACAGTGATCCTCCTGCCTCAGCCTCCCAACGCCGGGATTACAGGCATGGGCCACCACGCCTGGTATGCGCCACCATGCCTGGCGGGTGTGTGATTTCTTGAAGTCACTATTTGTGTAAACCTAAAACTATTCTGGGATTAAATTCATTAAAGGGGGCAATGGTCTCAGCACAGGCCTGCTGGGGTATGAAGGTGAGTGCCTTCGTCCCCCCCTGGAATCTTGTCAGATCCTGCGACCCCTCTCTGCCCACTGCAGAAGCCCCAGATGGAGCAGTGGCCCTTTGTAGTCTGGTGCAGCTGGTCAGAGAGCACACTGGAGGCTGGCGCTTTGCAGAGGGACCAGTCCAGGAGACTGGTGAAGTCCCTGCTATGGCCGTGGCCACACTCCTCATGAAAGCTGATGCCATGGGCATGGGGGTGGCTGCCTGGCACTTCCTGCTGTGGTCCAGCCTCCACTCTCAGAGGCAGCCTAGAAAGCTCCCTCCCCAGCTTTCCCCCCACAGGCCAGGCACACAGGGATGGGGGCCCTTCTGCTGAGGGTTGGGGGGACAGGAGGTGCGGCTTTGCTCTGTGGGGGTGGGGAGAGGTTCCCCAGCAACCAGCCCCCTTATGTAATCTGCACCTTGAATCGGCGTGACTCCGGGTCCCCGTGGGAGGCAGCACGGGGGTGCATGCAGGGGCAAGAACAGGCCTCGAAGTTTCCTTCGGTGCCTCTCCTCTCACTTCTCAGCATCATCCTCTGTCTGCCAGCTCGGTCACCCACTTACCTATTAGAACACATTAACTGACAGTGCAGACTTAAATGACTCAGGCAGGTGACAGGCCTGCCAGGAGCCCTCTGCACCCACCACATCCCTTGTAGGGCCAGGTAAGGTGGGAGGACCTGAGTCCAGAGGAAGGATGTGAGTGTCCGAGGATCAGGGCACTGCTTGCTTTGAGCCTGCGTCTGGAGCAGGGAGGGTGCAGGGTGACATTAGTGTGCAGCCCAGGCTCAGGTGCACTGGGCACCTTAGGGGCCAGGCTGAGTTTGGGATGTGGGATATAGCTGCCCGTGGTACGGTATGGTCCTGCTGGGCAGCAAGGGAAGCCTTTTAGGGATGCATGGACTTAGGGTGGGAGAGCTCAGTGATTGGGTGGACGGAAGACCGGATGGTGTAGTGCTTCACACTGCAGGACCTTAAGGGTCTAGCACAGAGAGCAGCCGCTGCCCGAGGCAGCGTGGGGCAGTTGTGTGCACCTGTTCCTCTCAAGGCCTGGAGCGGGGTGTGGCTCCCCGTCACTCAGCCCCCTCCTCACAAAGACGAGACAAACTTTGCATCACACTTAGTACGGTGACTCATCTACTCCCTAACACAAAGGCTCGTCCTTGTTTTCTTACCACTTTGCCCTTTTCCTGACTTAAATTCCCTTCAAAGTAATGAAGAAGGTATTTTTGGATGGGGGTGGAAGGAGCCTGTTCTGAATCTGAAGTTAGAGGACACGCTGGAAACCAGACCCAAGTGAGTCTCCTGGGTCCCACCATCCACACCGGAGATGGCAGAGTTGTGCCTGCCATCCCCAGCTCTGCCTGCGGAGTCAGAAGCCCAGACGTTGACGTTCGGCTTCGCAGGCTCGCAGATGGCTTCCCTGCCCAGGGCTGGCTGCTTCTAATTTCAGCTGCTGGAGGCTCTGAGCGCACTCCCTCTCTTTTTTTAATTCCATGTTTATTTAAAGCCAGATTTTGAAATGTTGTCTTCAGCCCTAAAATCTGACTTTTTCTTTTTGCTGCAGATCCCAAAACCCCACCTAGGGCCCCAGCGGTGAGAGGAATTTTGAGGACAGAGTTCCACCTGTGCCACTGAACTACACCATGTGATGAGCATCTGGAGGCCTGGCCAGGGTCTCCTTTGGGCAGCCCTAGCCCCTCAGCACTGAGCACAAGCGCTGACTTGTACGTATCCTGTGTTTTCAGATACACAAGGAGACGTGGGCAGCTCTGTAGGGCCTGGCCCTGTTGTTGGAATGGGAAGGGCTTCCCTGGGTCACCCGGATGGCTCCTGTCACAGTCACCCTGCTGCGAGCCTCCAGATGCATCCCCTGGAGGTGGGTTGGTAGCACAGCCACTTGCTGGGCTGAGGCCCCTGTCTTGTTGCCCTGGCATTCAACCCTCCCTTTGCCCACC